CGTCACCACTAAATCACTCTTAATTGCTCGGTTCCAACAGATGCGCGCATCTTAAATCGGTGAGTAATTAAGAAACAGTGTAGAAGACATCATTTTAAATGCCGATTAAAACAATTTACAGGGCCGAAGCGCAAGAAATAACAACAACAACAACCACAAAAAATGTACACAGTTTTTAAAAATAGACAAACATTGCAATAAAAATGTGTTTGCAAACTGCAAATTGAAATCGAAACGAATTTGTGTTCGTGTTCAAAACGATGATGATGAATTGGTCTGCATTCATTTTTATTCGGTGTACCAGCACACATTTTATATTTATTGCATCGATACCGAATTCACTGTTTTGTTTAACGTTCAGTTCGGGGCCGTGACTGCATTCGTGGTGGTGGCACGATGCGCTCTGGTAACTAGTGCGTGATATGAACAATGAGTGCATAAATAAAATCAACGTTGACAAAGTAATTATACTGTGGAAGTAATCGAAATTTATATGGATGACGACTGTGCGCGATACGCACACAATAAATTTTCATGGAAAATTAATGTGATAGTTGCAACGAGTTAAAGGTCAACCACTAAATATGCGAAAAAAAAATATATTCAGGATGACCTATGCAAATCCGCGAAGCGTTCCAATTTTCTCTGATGTAACTGAACGAAACAACAACCAAAAATCGACGAAGAAATATTTAGTTCGAAATATTTGCTTTCTTAAACGTTAAAAGTTTAACTAAATAAAAGTTTTTCTCATTGAATTTTCGCACGTGAATATAATTCTTGTGATTTGTTTGAACGAAGGATTTTCGTTTACACTGATTTATGCATGAATTCCATGTGACAATCAATAAAACAAATGATTTGGTTTCCGATAGCCAATTTCCATGGATGTATAAATTTCGTATATACATGGCATGGTTAACGTATGTTTAGACAAAAACCAGTGCTCGATTATTTATTAGAGGTGAGGTCATACATTGCACTCGACTATAAATATGAATATACTGTCGTTCAGTAGTTTAGCTAAACTGTCGTAACAACACAAAAACACATTCCAAAATTATAATTCGCATTGACAAAAAGCATAGAGATGCCTCATCTATGCAAATACGCTAATCTCCTCCCCACCGAAACGGTTGGATGGAAAACTATTTGCAATTTTCGGCACACAAAAGCATTCCGATTGGTTGAATCGGACACCACACATCATTTGTCAGTTTGAAACTGCAAAATAATTAGAGATAATGTTTGGTCCGCATATGGGGAAAAATGTCATTAACATGGTGCATAAAAGACACCGAATTGGCCAGCATGTGTGTGCAGACTGAATATTACTTAACAGGAAAGCAATTTTAATTAATTAATTGTCCACGTCGATTTTGATAAATTGAATTTCAGTTCTCTTTGACATTTGTGTTCTTCCAATAGCGTACATTGTTTCGATTTTGTATCGCTAAACGAAGAAATGTTCCATCATTTATAAAACATTGAATGAAAGCGATTGTTTCGATTCTAATTCAAAGAATATCATTAGAAATGCTTTCTCTCTTTTGTTATTTTATGCAATTTCCATTGAATTGAAAACACAACACAAACCCTTCGGTTACATATTTGTCCAGCCGAGATTTTCCATTCTTTTGAAAGATCTCAAAATAGATTTGAATTTGTCGGCCACATTTGTATGTGATAAATGACTTTTTTTTCGAGTCAAACACAATTCATGTTTACCTTGATGTCAATTTTAAATTAAACTTTTTTCAAACACATTCAAACTATTCAGTTTAAATTCAGTTGAGTGAATTTTAGATATTTCGATATGAATATTTTCGAAAAATTCAAAAGAATAATTTTCTCAGCTTTTCGATTTAGAAAAGACCCTCTTGAGGACCCGTTTTATATACTAAGAAGTGACGAACATTTCCCGAATATGCAATTAAACCGCCAATAATGATAAAAATGGGAATATGGTCAAACTATCGAAAAGATATCATCAGTCAAAATGAAGAAAGAAGTCGAAATACTATACTTCTTTGCGGCGATCTATTCCCACTGCGAACATTGTCCCGATAAAATTGTTCAAAACAATAATGTACACAGATATTAATCAAGCGTTATATTTTGGCACAACATTAATCATAGCAATTTTAGTGCTGCACTACATTGTCCAATATCATAATCAGAATATGTTGTGTGCACATGTTAAAAAAATGGGCAGATAAAAAAATCAAAATGCCAAACGACTCTTATCCTCCTCGGCTATTAAAGTGTAGTACATTTCATTTGGCGCATGAGTCGATACAGCGTTGGAACTAATAAGAAATCACTATGACAATGTGAACAAATCCACGGGAGAGTATGGTAAAAAAAACACAGTCGAACTTTATCGATTTCGGGCGAATGAATACTTGGTCATTTACACGTCCACATTGGTAATATAAAAAAAATCTTTATCGACATTTATATAAAAAATAGCAGTCGCAATGCTTTCCCATTCAGTGAAATGTTCGATATGAATGTTCATAAATTTCTCTAGTCACACTTTATGATGAATCGGTGTTTGATGATGCATACACACTCACGCGACACAAACATTCTCGACTATGAACGAATCAGAGGTAAATGTTTTTTTTTCTCACTATTGCCCGGAGTGGAAAAAAGTTGAACACGACAAACCGAGATGATTATTGATGAGGTGTATGGAATAAAGGTCAATATTGGAAGAGAAATGGTCTTCAAAATAGTTTTTCAAGTTTTTTCCCTCTGTCTTTCTATCTCAATATTTGACCATTCTTTTGGGCCTTCATAATAGTTCTAATGTCATTTTTTATTAATCATTCGGCCCATTTATATGATTGAATGCACATCTTGAACTTTTTCTCGTTTTGCACATGACACGGCACTTTTTTATTCTAAAACTGGGTTAAAAAAATGAGCTCATTTTTTGCAATTCAAATATTCAGCCCTTAAATTAATTCGATTTAATCTGAAAATCAGCTGTGTGCCTGTACACATTTTTGCCCTTTTGTCATTGATTCGGATGCTCATTCAGCTATCCATTCATACTGATGCAACATTTCGATCTCTTTCACCAACATAGAATTGTACGTATTCCGCTGTTTGTTTATTTGATTAGTAAAAGATTAATGATCATTGCTTATGAAATGTATTAAGATAATATAACACATAACCATTTTTCCTTTGGGCTGTCTCTATCGCTTTCTCATTTTTATCGTCACTCTTTACACTTTTGTTTGAGCAACGCATTGCTTAATAAATAATATTTGGAAGAGGTGAGATGTATGAGAAATTTGTCTCTATTGTAATGGACAAGCGAGTAAATATGTTGCATTGTATGCATTCACAATGAATGTCGTTGCAATAGAAAGTTTTTTTTCTGTATTGTATAGGGGGGGAACTGTTTAAATGGTTTGTTTTCGGTTATTCATCGATAATGGATCGTTTTTAGTTTTGTTTCGATTTTTGACAAATGGTCATCCAGACAAATGATGATCGAACAAATGCAAACATATTCAAATTTTTCGTTTTGTATTCCGCTTGGCTGCATAATCGCGAAGAAATAGAATCGAACGAAAATTCAAATAGAAAATTACAACTTTTTTTAGTTTCAGTGCAAATAGCAAGTAATTTTTGATATAATTAATTCACGAAGAGCATAAAAAAAAGTTGCAACTCAGCAACTGAATCATCATGTTATAGCATCGGTTTAGTGCACAAAACGATTTGCAGTAGCGAGCTGGCGAGACGATCAACATGCAAATTATTGCGATTCATGTAATACTCAACAAAACGTGAATTGTGCAAAATTAAAGACAGTAATGCTGTCAATATTAGAAGCATGCACAACGATAACAAAATCTGATGATATGATGAAATCTGAAATACCGCTGACCAACAAATCGAACTCAATTTGCAATTCCATCTAATATTCACTAATTATATTGATATAATTATGTCTGATATTTATTTAAATTGCGCCACATCAAAAGTAAACATTTATAAAAAAATATGTCCTTATCATTGAGTTTTTTCCGTCTTTTTTTTATTTCAAAAAAATCAAACAAAAAACGAACTCATACTCAGAAAGAACTTCAATCTGACGAATTTTTGTCTCCTCAAATCAAATGCATTGGGAAATTAATTTCAGTCTTTTTTCGCACTATTGATAGCATTTTATGTGGTCAATCACAAATTTGAAATGGCAAAATTGATGGAATTATCGACAAAATTGAGATGATCATAATATGAATATATAAATCGTAACTGTTTGTTCCAACGAAAGACATATTCCAAAGTATTTGTGTATTGCTTCAATCTGTTGTACACGTTATCTTACGTTCCATTTCGGAGTAAAAAGGTTATCATCAGTCTGTTTTCACATGTATTGACAAACATTATCCAAGAACCAACCACGAGCAGTCAAACGATTCGGATTTCAGATCGAACTTATTCTTATTATTCAAATGATTCAGAAATGAACAAAAAAAAAAACATGAAACCAATTGAATACGTTGTCCTTGTAATTGTTATCAACGATTGAGAATTTGTTACTGTACATTTTTTTGTGATTCTCATCTGGTTGTTTTTATTGCGTTGACAAAAAATTCGGATGTATTGCTACCGTTTCATCATATGAAAATGTTTTTGATTTTTATTATCAGAAATCAAATAATATTTGAATGAAAATTTAGAATCATAAACAACCGATAACAATGCGAATGAATGAAATCTTTAAAGAACATAAATATCATTGAATCATTTTTTTCAATTCTCTCTACCAGTCATATATCAATGAGTGTTGATTAAATATTTCAATTTATCAAATGCAACGAAAATAAATGTTGAATGAATTAAAAAAATTAAAATTGAAAAAATTCAACAGATAGACACCGAAATATTTCGAAATATGTTTTTTTACCAATAGGGTCGTGACATTTGGTATATTCATGTGAATAGATGGCGGTTGTGCAAAGAAGAGAAAACAGTTTTTAATTCGAATGACAGTAAAGTGAGCGCAATTCTGTTAGAATCAACCGCTTTGTATTCCAATCAAACATTTAGAACGACAAAAGTAAAGTGACAAAAGTAAAGTGTGCAGTGAAAATGGAGCCACCGTAAGTATTTTCTTTTATTTTAATATTTTATGCATTAGTTTAGCGGAAAAAACAATAATTCTATATTTGTCACTGTTTTTTCATAAAAAAACCTAATCGGTGCAAATAGAAAAGAAGACGAAATACCAGACATGAAAGAAATTATCAAGAAACGTGAAGAGAAATGGAATGGTTTCTTCGAAGTAAGTTGAATCAAATCTTTTGATAAATTTCATTCATTAAAGTAATTTCATTGTTACAACAGAAATATAAGGACTTTGATTTTGTGGAGCAAAATGATTCTCTATCCGATTATTCTGAGCAAGAGATGACGGATGATGATTCGTTCGAAGTAGTAAGTGAATCAGATGATCAGAATAATGATTACGAAGCCATAGAAGTGGACGATAGCGTCGCAATAGAAGACAAAGAATCAGATGATGGTTGCATTGAGGTATCAGAAGACGACGAAAGGGCTTCTATGTTCAGTCAAGTATTTCAACAGGTACAGTCATTGACTATAATTTTGGTGTAGATTTTGAAAGCCACATGGTTTAATGAATTTTCATTTTCTTTAATAGATTGTCAAGCAAAAGATAGAAGTATTTGAAAAGAACAGCCGTCAAAATTCTATCCAAAAAATTAAAACCAAAGATGGAATGACGAAGCATGTTCGTGAGTCGACCATATGCAAGGAAAGGCGTTCAATTATGGCATCAGAAATGCCAATGCCTACTACACCGAACATGTACATAAATATCCCAAATTTACAAGAAAACAATTGCATGGCTTTGGTGAAACCACATTCTAGCGCCATACAGCCACATGGTAGTAATATTGCGGTGGATGAAAATATCGAAGTTTTGAAAAGTGGCAAAATGAAGATTACAAAAACCATTACAACAACCACTACGACAACAACCACCACTGTACAGGAATTTCAACAAGATGAAAATGTCACACCACAGAAAGGTAATTGCAACAAAGTTTATTGAAAATTTCGTTCATTTTTTAACTAACCAAATTTTATTCATTTCTTTTGCTCTTTCTTTTCGTCTCTTCTCTTTATCTGTTCACTTTTGCAATACAGCCAAACCTCCAAGATCAGCGAAAAAAAAGCGAACAGCAAATGAAGCGACTGACAGTGAATTTGACGTCTATGGCACCAACTACGATGATGATGATTTGCAAACACCACACCAACGTAAGGGTCATTTCAATGTCTCTGCTACTTCACTATCAACAACTAAAATCAATGAATCGCGTCTTGCAATCGAACTTACGCCGACTACGGCAAATGGAAGAGAAAGAAAATTGGTTCCGAAGCAAATTCGAAGTGTTTTAAGCGAAACCATACAAAATGGCGAGATGGACGAGAATGATTTTTGTGGTGTTACAAACCGTGAAATTCAACCCTCAAAAGGTTCACGCTTATCATTAGTTTTCACACCACAGCGGAACAAAGCGATTACAGCCGGTGACTCATTTGTCGACCCCTTGGCTATGCAAAAAGAAAATCCAAGAGCAATTTATATCAATGCACGTGACGATGTCGGCAAATTTGCGGATAAGGAGTAGTCGATCAACATCATCAATCCCGATCAACATCATCAACGCAATACTCACCATAATATATTACAACATTCCTAGTTTTTATGCTATTGAACAACAAAATGTCAATCATATAAAATTTTCAATCAGTAGTTTCGAGCAAAATTCACATATACACACAATATTTTCAATTAAGCATCATATTTATTTATTAAGATAAAAGATAATGTAACAAAGCATGCGCTGTGAATTTTTTTATATTTTTCAGAACATTCGTGTAATTATCGAAACCAATCCTGCGACATAGCACCAAAAAATGCGGCAGCATTTGATTTGACATTTGCCAAATTTTGCTGAGCGCTTGATTGCGGTGTCGTTCCACTAGATTTCGATGGTGATTTTCTCTGTAAACACAAGAAAATCAATGTTAATAATTAGTATATAAGCAAAGTTTATCTTTTATGTTATTTGAAATGTGCATAAATTCGCTTCAAGACCAAATCACATTCAAAACACTGTGGGTCAATTTATTAGCTTTGTTAATCAAACAGATACGAAAAATTATATTTAAATATGATACAATAAAGATGAGTCAAAACCAAATTTGTAAATGTTGTACCTTTTCTGACTTGATTTGTGTTGTTGGCGCTTTGTTTTCAACCGGCTCACTTAATGTGGCCGATGTTTTCGTTGAAACAACAATCGGAAGCATTGTAAACCAATTGCTGTGTGCCACACCATTGTTTGCCAACGACAGAAGATTTGGATCCTTTTCTTGTGTTAAATTGGCTCCACTGGTTTTTGTCACAGCGGCTAATAGTGATTGATTTGTTGATGTGCTTGGAATGAGCAGACCGTACTGTTGATGTTTTCGTTGAGCAGAAAGCTTCACATTTGTATGTAACTTTCCGTGAAGTAATTCAAGATCAAATGGATCGATGCGAGACTTGAATTTTCCGGCCAACGATTGCAGTTGATCGTTCCATTTTCCATTCAAAAACAGTATCGTTAAAAATTTCAAATCGAAATAAAATTGTAGGCATGCATTTTGATTGGTGAACACAAACTCATTTCGATTGCTGAGCTCCACATACGTGTGCACAATTCGATTTAATAGACGATCGGTCAATATGGATGTGACTGCCTTTGGTAAGGTTTCTGCCACTTTCTCATTCAACTTAGTACAACAATCGATGAGAAACTTTTGCAATGGAATGCTTGGATGGGCTGGCACTCGGATCGTTGACTGCACCGATGAGTTTGATTCATCGTCTTTTCCTTCGATTGTGTATGTCTCCCAATTTGGGAAGAAATCCAGTAAATTGATTAAATCAATGTTTATTCTAAAACAAAGGCCATTATGTTTACGTAAATTATCACCAATGAATAAATCGATCCATTGTTTCCATAGATTTACGGATTCTTCATTTAACAAGCGACAAATTCGCTCCCAATGCTCGAATCGTTCCATGTGGGATACATTTGATGACTCATTCCATGTGTTTGATAGAAGCAATGACGTTGGCATCAAACATTGCTTCACATTCGGACAAATTTCGGTGATTGCCTTTAGTAATTTGGCGAGAAATACTATGGAATAGGCACGTTCATTGTTTGCAACTCCCAACAATTTGATCTTTGATATCAAACTGAAAATACAACAATCACACATTATTCTATTTGATTTTTCTTCATTATTTTAAGTTTCTTACTCAGAAATTCCATTTTGACTGCAACTTTTCAAAAATTCCACGAGATGACTTTGTTCCTTGCGAACAATTGGATCTTCTCTCAATTCAATACTGTCTACACCCAACGAACTGACGTATAATCTCAAATCATTGTATATGGATTCAACACTTTTATCCAATTCATTGCAAATCGTGCACAGTTCAGGCGAATAGCCCTTCGTTTTCATGAGAAGACGATGATTTTGACGATTCATATCTAAAGCTTGCTTCAAACTCTTTGGACTATCTTCGCTATTCTCGTCCCAGAATGAATTTTCGTCTGGAAAATCATAAAAAAATTGCATTATTTTAAAAATATATTGGTAAAATGGGTGAATATTACCAATCAATGACGGAACATTCGATTCAAATACTTCGCAGATCTTCTTTTCTGTGTGTTCAACAGCTGTTGTCCAGGATGTCGTTATGATGGCTTTGATACGATCCTGCATCATTGGTTGATAGAACTTGTGATAGAAATCAATGTTACTGCTCAATTGTAGACTTTGCAAAATTAGCGGCCAATTTGATGGAATTTCTAAAGGGGAGAAAAGTCATTTTTTCTTTCCACCTCAAAAGATCATAAAAAATGCGACGAAAAAATATAAAAATATAAATATACCTAGCTCTGAAACGGCTTTGTTCACATTGTGAATAGTTCGGACCGAGCTGATGTTACCGATGACAGTTTTCAGCAGTTGTTTTGAGTCATTTTCAGTTGTTTGCAACCATGTATCCAGTGACCGTCTCACTGCATCCGAATCGATTGGTTGCATTTGCATCTGTGGTCTAAATATAAATCTAAAATGAATTGTTCTTTCTTCACCATCAAGTTTAAAATGAACTTACTTAAATTTCGATATAAGCGATGGCAAGGTGTCATTCATCAGCGATTCGTTCATTTGGAGCATATGAATCACAGGTTGTGCATTTGGTCCCGTAATCAATTCCAATTCCCTGGCTAACAAGCACTTATTGTCTGCTCCCGATTCGCTGCCTGAACTATCGATAAAGCACTTAAAAACTTGCAGTACCGTTTCATTAAGTAGTTGCAAGCTATCTATGATTCGGCGTTTGGCTGATTGGTGTGGTTTTGCATTATTTTCATCACTAATAGTTGTAAGCATTCTACGAAATGCCCGTGCTCTCAGTTGTATAAACATAGTCAGCAATTTATCCAATTGACAATTTTCAAGTAACACTAAACTTGTCAAGCATTTAACTGCCGTGTCGGTAGTCAATTCGGGTCGTTCCAATTCGTCCAAGCACATTTGTTTTATCATAAAGAAAAATTGATTCAAATGATTCCATTGACGTTTTACAACTGGGTATTTTCGCATTATATTTGTATCCAATTGCAAGCCAGTGCTAATGTGTCGAGCAAAAATAAACAATTGCGTGGCCACGAAGTAGTCACATTCATCTAGATGACTCCAAATCAATTCTGGTAATTTGGTTAAAAGATGTATTTGTGCCATACATCCGTAGTAATTCTTTTGTACAGTTTCCATACCACGTTCGGCATTCGTATCGATTTTGAAACCAATTAGCTGGTGTTCATTTAGATTTCGACAACTTCCGATGATGCCGTGAATGTGTTCAATGACATTGGACGATGTTTTTCGCATCTCACCAATTGTATCAGCGGCTTGCAAAAGATCACGGTATCGCTCACTAGATTATTAAATTTGAAATTAAGTGAATTGAACGGATGGAATTGCGTGGCGAAGACTTACCCAACCATAATTCTTAATTCTTCCTTTTTGGCTTCGATGTTTTGTTGGAGCTTCTTATGAACGAGGTCAATTTCACTAATACTGCATTGCTCGAACAACGAGTCAACATCAATATCCAATAAAGTGGATGTTGTCATTTTGAAAGGATTTGTCTTTTGATTTTTTTTTGTCTTCCGAATAATATTTTGTTTACTAAAATTCGTGTAAGACTGTCGTAGACAGAAAAAAATGTTCCCATTCAAAATTGAATTGTCAATATCGAGTGAAATGTCAACGTCATCGTTTGTTTAGATGTTTTCAAAACAAAACAGCGTCAAAAAATATGTTCGCCATAAATGAGGATTTCTTATGATTAATTAGTGATTTGAATGATAAATGGAATTAGAAATGCCCAGATTGACGCCAAAGATGTCCTAAATAATGGAAAATAATAAAGAAAACACATAAGCTTAGTGTGATAACATGAGAGGGAGGGATATGACAGATGGTTTGTTGCACTATCAGTTCAACTTCGAGACAAATTTCGCACATTTTTTTGTCAATTCAGTTTATTTTGCAATTTTATACCGAAGAAACGAATGCAAATCTAAGAAAACGGTAAACCGCTCAAAGTTTGCTGAATATGTTCTATAAATCATGATAAAATGACAAAAACTCTAGTGTAAACAAAAATCCTCCCATGAATGTGTCACTTCGAATCAAAAGATCTTCCAAATGAATGGCAGCGCCACGAAATACCGGTGTCGAAGTCGTGAGCTATGCGAAAATTCTATGCATTTATCTCGTGTTAGTGTTTATGTGTGTATGAATGTTAGTGCCGAAAAACCGAAGCGCGTTTTGCTCTCTTAGTTGAAGAGTCGCTTGATGTTTTTATACTCACATTTTATCACACGAACATAATATTCCTTCCGCGCCACAGGCGATATTGTTCCACCTTCAAACCATTAACACAATAAAAAACAATAAATACGTAAATTAAAGAAAATAATCAACGAAAGAAAAATTAAAAACACGAATTTTGTGAGCCACGAGAGCTATATGTGATCGCGTAACCAAACCCGAACGGGCGAAATCAATGATGGCATTCAATTGAATTGGGAGAGAGAACAAAAGTAGAAGAACCACATAGATGCGGAATTTCGTATGGAATACTACTGAGCGAATACTGTGTACGAATAGAGTGAGAACCGGGATAACCTCTAAAGTATTTGTGCAAACAATTGGGACAGCAATTGTTATCTTTGTTATATTTTTTATCGAGAAAAAAGAAAATTATGTGGATTGTCTATTGAGTGAATTTTGTGCCACAATTAAAACGATACCGAACATTTTGTCAATGTATAAATTGATTGTTCGCATAAATCAAAGTGAATTGAGAGTAAGCGAATGATAGAGAGAGAGAAAGAGAGATAAAAAAATAATAATATAGAGAGTTGGACAGCACAAAGTTTGCTAGTGTGATTATTGAAAAATCCGTGTAAAATTTTGCACATTGAAAGTGAAATATTGGCTGGTGAAAAAAGGCGATTACATTTGAAAATCAAATAAAAATGGATTCAAATGATATCAATGACCCTGAATTGAGCACCGAATTTGATGACGAACTACAACGACGACAACGAAATGAAGTGGTGCCATCATCTGAAACGTCAATCAGCGACAATGAATTAACAACCACAATCGCAGAACACAAACAATCGCCTGTAGACGTTCCATCGAATGGTACGAATAGCGGTGTTGAAAATCAATTGCATACATTGTCATCGGAGCGAAAAGTGTTTGAGACAAATGTTATTGAACAGGAGTCAGATGGTGGTGGCAGCACAGCAGGTATAAAAAGTGAATCAGACACAGAGTCCGAATCACGTTTAGTTATTCAAAGTGAAAATGAAACAACTGACAACGACACGGCGTCTACACTCGCAACAACAACAATAAAAGAAAATGGTGGCACATCGTCGTCGGCTAAGCGCAAATCAACCGCAAAGATAAATAATAAACAAAAGAAGAACGATATCAATGACTATTTTAGTGACGGCATTGAATTTAGTGATGACGATGAAAAATTTATGGGATTCACAGACGCAGACATTAATAAATGCACAAGTTGGGGTACTGTTATGATTTTTATTTTTTTGTTTCATCTCTCCTACTTCTTCTTTTTCTTTTTGCTACGAGAAATGCAGCACAGCGCTGCAAAGTGAATGGAATCGATTTTAATTGTATGTTCATGTCTTTTTGCAGCACCATCAGTTTTGTTAAAACGAATTAAAACAAACTCTCCATCGATACCGAACCAACCAGCAACAACGATCAATTCAATCGAAGTAAGTGTTGCTATTCCAATTTATAAATTCGCGCAATTTAATTAATTAATCCAATATTTTCAGGAAAAAGTTGAACAAAAGACACCACAAGACGTGACAATGAATGAACCATCACCGCCACCACCACAGCCACCGGTACAAACACCACAAAAGCCAGTGACAACAACTACGGACGGTTCATCGCCGCACATTATAAAAACAGATCCACGCTATCGCAATCCATTCAAGTTCGGTTGGCGACGAGAAGTCGTTTTTCGTGCCAATATGTCAGCCATACAGAAAAGTGACAACAAAGGCGAAGTGTATTATCATTCGCCGAGTGGCAAAAAATTGCGCACGAAAAATGAAATAATGAAGGAATTGGTTACGTTAAAAGAATCAAATTTGGATATCGGTGATTTTACATTTGCAAAAGAAAGCGTCGGAATGCCGCCCGAACAGGAAATTGTTCGCAGCGCAAAGGTTCAAACTCCATCGCAGAAACGACAACCGGTGCCAGTGCCGGAATCAACAACACCAGAAATTCTCGGCAAACGCATTCCGAAACCGAAAATGCCAAAAGGTGCAAGCCCACCACCACCTTCGATCACCAACAAATCACGTGTAAGTTGATGAATTCATGAAAGTACATTCAAAGTAGTGTCACAAATACAAACAAGTGACACAATAAAAGTGTTTATTTTGCAATCTGTTTGTTTATACTTGGAATTGAGTTTAAAATATATGACAACTGAATTGCGTTTAGTAAACATAATTTTTTCGCACTAATAACCAGTTTTAAACAAGCATCCAGTGTACGAACATATTAGCATATACACTTTTCTACTGAAGTTACAAATATTTTCATTCGATACAAATCATCATGGATGGCGTCTACTTAAACGATGTGCAATTTGTATACATAAAATGACACTGAATTTCTTTTTAATTATTTTCAAATGTTGATTTTAAATTTCAGACGCCAATTGCAAGTAATAAACGTCAACCGGAGCGAGAAATTATCGAAGTGATTCAACCGAAGGCTCCAAAAACCAATTCAAAATCAAAGTAAGTACCGAATTTTTTCAACCTAAAACGAAATAATTCCAAGTAAAAAGTCTTGATTGAAAAGCTAGAATTGTCCTTTAAAAAATTCCTCCCAAAAAAAGAAGATTAAGTGATGCCCTACTACTTTAACTAAAAAATCCATATTCGTCAATATCGCTCCGTTTTCGAATTCTGCTCGATTATCATAATTTAACACACAATCTCACTATCTCTCTATCAATTCTATCGTAATGGTTGGTTTTCCATAATAGTAGGGAACCATGCACAATAAATTGCGTCTTGGCCATGGGAATCATACCACAGTTGCAGTGCAAAAAGTGCCAGTTTATGTATCATCATGAGTGCGTTGGCAAAGATGGATCCCGTCATATCACCACTTTTGTTTGTGAAGTATAAATACGCATCCTTATTCATGCAAACAATTCTGGACAATTCTAATTTAAATATTTCTCTTGTGTAGCACTGCAAACGGGCAAAGAGTGAAGCGGCTGCAGCGGCGGCGGCAGCAGCAGCAGCAGCAGCTAACAAAGATCTGCCGATGGACGAGAAGAGCACAAATGTGAGTTCAACGGAACTAGCAACACCGAGTCGACCGACGAAAAAAGGTCTTCTGACAAACTCATTGAACAAATCCGTGGCATCGACACCAACAAGTGTAAAAAGTTCGAAAGATGATTCGATGGCAGCGAATAAAAATCCAAGTGAACCGGATTTATCGTCACCACAATCCATTGCCATCGTTGCCGGCCGCAAATATATTATGGTTCCAAAAACAACCAAAGTTCAAGCTACACCTGACTCAGTCAATGGAAATCAAACTGCCAAGAGTTCGTAAGTGAATAAAAAAAAGCATATAATAATTTGTAGAATTTACATCTGTAGTTTAACCGAATATTTCAAATTTTTTTTTTGAATTTGCTTTTGTGCTATATTTTTCTTGTTTTCTCTTTTTATCCCCATTTCAGATATTTGTATGACCATGCACTGAGTGCAATTTTGAGTTTTTCCAATAGAATTAGTTCCGTTGTGCAAATGGCTGTAGTTGCTGATTTTGTTCTTTTGTTTGATTCGATTTGTACATTTCGCGTTAATTTTGTTGATTGACATGCTTGGCATCACATTTAGATTTTCCTATTCCCCAAATGCTCCCCATTTTCGCTTTAGAATTTTTATGTTAAGTTTTACAGACATTACTTATTCCAAACTTTTTTCTTTTTCATTTTTGTTGCAGATCAAGGCCACACACTCCGGTTGCTGGTTCAAAATCGAATTCATCTCGCCGGTCATCACCATCACTGCCGGTTGCCAATAATGCGTATGCATCGACACCACTTTCAGTACACTCAATGTTTGCATCCGAATTTTTCAACAATGTATCAAGAGGTTATGACATTCTATTCAACATTTTCCAATATCTGAAAGTTCAAGTAAGTCTCTTCAGACTCTTCATTTCACTTCATTTTAACAATCAATGTGTTTGTTAACGTCAAAATGCTGCATATCTTTGTTTAAACACAGGAATTGGTTCGTGTATCAAGTGTGTGCCGTATGTGGAATCATGTTGCAAACAACAGTATTCTATGGCAAACAATTCGAATGAAAAACTCACAGGCAAACGATTGGGCTGGTTTAATGGCTGCTCTGAGGCGACACGGTACACGTCATTTGGATTTGCGCAAAATTCTCATCGCACCAACATTGGATTGGAATGATTTCATAACGCACATAAGTCGCACCGATCTTGAAACATTACACTTGTGCCGCTGCCCGTCTGAGGTGGTGACGGCTCTACTCGAAACAAATACAAATCTACGGGCTCTCATGTCTCTATCGATCACCGGAAATACGTTCACGTTCCCAAGCACCTGCCGAATGTCAGCTTTACAAGAATTACGACTCAAATCCGGTTCAACGATGAAAATTGAGAATTTACAAGCCCTGCAACACCTAACCAGTCTACGCCAACTATCACTAACATCCATTGATTCATTGGACGCAAATCAATTGGAGCCATTATCCCGTTTGGCATCGCTTGAGTCTCTCGAATTGGGCGAATGTAATAATTTGGCCGGTGGTTTTGCGAGAAATATTCTAAACAAACTACGAAATTTGGAGCGTTTACGTTTGGAGGGTGGCAAAGGATGTGCCACATTCGATATTCTTGAGGTGATTGAACGGCTCCCAAAATTGATTCAATTGGAATTGGTAAACTTTGATATAAAACCGGGCTTTGACACACGAATCGCACTATGCCGTCGTCTCAAGCGACTTTTGATCATCCCCACATACATCTCACAATCGGCCACAACAAATAATCTCGTGTTGTCCAGCATTGCACATCTTGGTGACACATTACAATCGGTCACGTGGGTTGTTACTCAGGAACTGATTCGTGTTACTGATTTATACACCGACGAATGTCACACAGAAGGACAACCGAGAAAGCCCAACGAAGATAAAATACCAATCATCAAGCCAGTGCCAATGATGCGGGAATCACAGAAAAGCAACACATCCAGTGATGCAAGTACTCAACTTGTTGAAATTCTGCCGCTGAGCCAAGTGGAGAAAATCATTCGCAGCAACATTCCAAAGTTGAAACTGAAAATTCAAAAAGTTCCATTCTCAGCAACATGGCGTCAAACAATAAGCGATACTTCATAGACTGTAACTGAGACAGGCGTTATTATCAGACGCCCAATTATTATATTACGACACATTAAGAGGTGATCAGTTTATAGAATCACAATACTTCACGCTAAATGTATATAACAACATTATTTGAGTTGGATATAATTTTTTTTTGTGTAATTCATTAGGGTCACGAATAATTCAAATATACAAAATTCGTTGAAAATTTGTTCATACATCAGTTAACTAATGGCAACCAATTCAATTTACCTAATTTATAGTCTCAAGTAATATTCTTCTTGAATTTTCACTTTGGCGGTTCGGTTGAGATCGGCTTTATTTTGGAATAGGAATATTTTTATTTAGAATATGTTGACATTGAATTTTATGTTTTTTTAGCAGTCATCAATGTGAACAACAATCAATTTTATCATTCTCACCTCATCTTGAACCTCATCTTGGGTTTCCCCAAACAGTCGGCAGATGAAACACTGATATTCTTTAGTATTTTAAGCAAAAATGAAATATCGTTAATTTTTTTTAGAAAAACGAAATAAGAAGAAAATTATCACTGGATGCATGTAAATGATTCTTCAAACACCCCGACATTTTCAAATCAAATACATTTTTTCTGCTCACAATTTTTTTAAAACGTTTTTTATTTAATGATTCTGTTTTTAGTATGACTGTAATTTACTACCAAAATGCCAAAAATACTGACGAGTCTCGGTAATTTTATGCTCAGGTCAAAACTATAATTATTAAGCTATTGAATTCTAAAAGTACTCCAATATTAACCATAGTGCTTTAAATTGGGGGTTAATTTTAAGCCTTTTCCTTGTAAAAACCATCTACACATAAACAAAAGGCCTAATGTGTTTTGTCTCGGTAAATGTTTCTCTTTTATGCTCAGGTCAAAACTGTAATTATTGTTCGGTCATTACATGTACAATGTACATGTATTCTTGGGAAAGGAATTTTCAAAAGCAAAACTTGAGCGCACATTTCGTTTTTCCACCTGAAATCTATATTAGTTCATTTGTTGTCTTTGTGAAGTGCAGTACATTCGTTTGAAGTGTTTGATTATTGGGAAAAAATTCAACAATTTATTTATATATTAAAATACTGAAAAAACTAAAAAGAAACTAAAAAAGAGTTAGAGTCAGTATAGTTCAATTAAACTAAGTATAGAAACCTACCATCACTTACAATGGCAAATAATGTAAAAAACTGCATGATGGCGCCATCTCTATGTGCTCATGAAAATTAGAACAAAAAGTTTGTGTAGAATGTTAATTGTTTGAAGTTTGAATACGGAATCATTTGTTGTGACGTCTGTCATTTTACGCTCGATAAAGATATACCGTGTAAATTGAACAAAAACCGATTTATTATTTGTATTTAGTGAATTTGTGATGGAAAATAAATTGAAATTACTTTGCACAGTTTGTGTCATCAAAATTAACTGCGAGGACGTTGCATATCACATGGTTTTTCTTCACACAAAATCAGTTGACATTTTTGACTTTTTCGCACCAAAAAAAAAAATGTTTTAATTGCCTTTGGTGCTCGTTTGGATCGCGAGTTCAATGCCAAGCACATAGAGATGTCGCTCGGAACGTGAAGCTCAAAAAAAATATACAGGTGATATAGAAAGCAAGTGATGGTAGATAGAAACTCTATTATTTTTCCACAAACATACAAACATTTGCTTAAAAGTCAACTTTTTCGAAGAACGGCGTCAAGTTAACTTTGGGATTTCAATTATCGCTATTATTTACTTATATGTTATATACATTACAGCAGTTACTCGCTAATATTTGACAAAAATCAACAAGCATTAGAATTTCCAATTTAGAAATATAATTCAATCAATTTAAAAAAAATTAAGATTGATAAAACTTCGGTAAAAAGCGTATGTATTGAATGTTGAAGATGATTTATGATGCAAGCGAAAAGAATTGCACATTTAACTCAATTCATTAGGCCGTATTCTAATTCCATTTATTCGCATTTATTTAATTTAGCTAACAAAAAAGTGATGTACACAACTGACGAGATCATAAATAGACATACATTTTTGGATATCATAAAATGCAACACAACATGGATTTATCGGTTTCCGGACTGGAGCAAGTTGACATAAATGTACCAACACAGTATTCGCCGAAACATATTTTAAATAGTCTTAATGACCATTGTATTCGTGAAGTCTTTGATCGATTGGATGATATTCAGGACTTTCTCAGTGCAGCTGAAGTATGCAGACGGTTTCAAGAAAATGCAAAAACATATTATCCAAGAATTTATAAAAGAATAGTGATTCATATTGACTATATTGTAGCATATCTCAGTGCCGATGGGTCACCATATAGATTGCCATTACATCGTGCGCGAAATTTCCTGAGCATATTCGGGGCATTAGTTCAATCGATTCAGTTTGGAAAAGACAATGGACCTCATTCTTTTTCTTATTGGAAATCTGTCATGTATAATCCGTCTTTAGGCTCTTTCATGTATAATCCGGATAATCAAAAATATGATACAGACACTCTTAATATGATTGCCAATTTATGTGGAAAAACTTTGATCGAACTCAAATTCTATCGGCGTTTTATCAATTTAACAACAGACTCGCAATTTCAAGCACTACAAAAACTCGAGATAGAAGGCTTGAATTGTAATGTCAATATTGGAACACTTCCAGAATTAAATAGCTTAAAATTATGGGACTGCAGGTCAGATTGCAATTGGCTGAAACGAGAATTTCCAAAACTAGGAGAACTTGTAATTTTTCGGTATATGAAACTAAATCAAAACACATTGATTGAATTTCAAAGATTAAACCCACAACTTCGAATACTAAACTTGAAAATGTGTACTCTTACCTCATCGTTTTTTCAAGATATTGATATCCGTTCACCAAATCTGGAAACATGCAAAATTGATCGTTTGCGAATAGAAAGTAATTATGAATCGAATTTTTTGGATTTCGCTAAATTGCATAAATTAAAAGAAATTAAAATCGAATTCGGTAGTTCTGATATTGACGCACAAATTTCATTAGTTGATTCACTTATCAAAAATGACGTTCCCATTGAGTGTTTAAAATTATGCGGTATAAGTCCGGCTTATCTCGAAGAAAATATACCGAAATTTAGTCGGTTAAAAAAATTGATTTTATCGTGCCATTTCGAGCAAAGTTTAATCAATATTATAGAAAAATCATCTACCTTAGAAGAGATGTATGTTTATCAAATAAAAGACCTAACTCCAATGGGAATAAAAAAAATCTTAAATATTTCCAAAAAATTGCAGCTTCTTATTTTTTTGATAGATTATGATCTAAAAATTAATTTGGAAGAGTTTAAATCGATTTTGTGTTTGGCAAAAGATCGCGTTAGGGTTGAATTGTATCAAAATGTGGTAGCCAAGGTACAAATTCAGAAAGAAAATTGCAAGTGGTTTTCGATTGAAGGCGAAAACTACAAATATTCTGAACAAATATTTTAAATATTCTGAACAAATCAAATCTTCAATTGTTATTATGTTTAATTATTAGATTTAGGCATTAAGTTTGTTTGTAATCAATTAAAAGACCGACTAAAAAAGTGCCCCTTGTTAATTTTTCCAAAACCCGATAGGCAGCGTAGATGTAGAAATATCCTATATAATATCCCTTCACGATCATAGAAAATAAAGAGATTATTTTAAATTGTCGATCAAAAAAATCATCCGAAAATATTCTATTAATTTGCACAAAAAATATCTATTTTATTATTTGTGTTTAAAAATAACAATAATTGTAAATATTTAGGTTATTAAAATAATTATTAAGGCACAAAAAGACAAATGTTGAAGTAGTATGTTTCGTAATAATAACAATTTGTTTGTCCGCCATGACAGCATTTTCGTTTTGCTTCACTGTGATTGGTTGATCAAAACGAGCATGCTGTCATGGCGGGCCAAAAAGGTGTCATGACGTCGAAACAAACAGAGTATCTTGATTTGCTGCTGCTCAGCATATAGCTGAGAGCTGAGAAATGCTGAGCTCGTGCGGCTAACGCATACGAAACGGATGCACGATACATATTCCCCTTTCGCTTCGTATGTGCTGCCGTTGACGCTATTGCCGGTACAACGGTTACACACTATACCAGCGAACATACGAAGTGAAAGGGGGATATGTATCGTGCATCCGTTTCGTATGCGTTAGACGTACACTTTCAGAATATATGAAAGACTGAGTGCAAAAACAGCACGTCGCATCTCATCTCTTGCTTTCACTTACGTGAGCAAAATAACGAGGGATGCGACGTGATGTTTTTCTCGCAGCTTCTCATATGTCGGTCGCAACACAATTTCAAACTCAACTGGTTACTAAGTTTTGAGTTTTGAATTGAACGTCCAATCAACTGTTTATAACCGTTTAAACGAGGAGAATGCATGTGTGCGTGTCATCCGATTCGTATGCGTTAGCCGCACGAGTTCAGCATTTTTCAGCTCTCAGCTATATGCTGAGCAGCAGCAAATCACGATGCTCTGGAAACAAATTGTTATTATTATGAAACATACTACTTCAACATTTGTCTTTTTGTGCCTTAATAATTATTTTAATAACCTAAATATTTACAATTATTGTTATTTTTAAACACAAATAATAAAATAGATATTTTTTGCGCAAATTAAAATAATATTTTCGGATAATTTTTTTTTAATCGACAATTCAATATGAACAGATGCGACATCTATATGAAATCTGAATACATTATTTCAGTATTTGTTTTATTGTTCTTCAATAATTATTTCAATGGAAAAAAATTTGATACTATTTTTTATTTTCAAATACAAATTGATTTTATTACCGAGATTTTTATCTTAAAAAAAAAATTTCGAACGATTTTATGTTTTTTTTATTAAACAATTTAATTTGCTCGTAATGTTTTTGAAGAAAATGCTCGTTGACAAATTGACAGCTGTGTGACATAAAAGGGGCACAAATCCCTGGGATATTTTAATCGGTCCTTTCAAAAAATACCCCCAAAATAAGGGCCAAACCCTATCCAAACCCAAAACTAATTACATATTCGGATTCCTTGTGAAAAACTTTGAACCTTTAGGCACCAGGCATTGTATTCTCTCTGAACCAATGGAAGGATGTGAAGACTTCAAGTCTCTTTAAGCCAACGGTGGCGCCCCGAATTTCAAAGGGGACGTCAATGTAATTTAACAACTCCAATCGAAACTAAACAGCGCGCCAATTTTAAAACTTGGTGTCATTTCCTCCCATTGCTATGAACACCCCTTATCACTGTTTTGGGGTACTTTTTGAAATTTTCGCAAATTTTGTATGGAGATGATGAGAAATTGCAAAATGGCAAAAATAAAATGTGCGCAAAAAATTAGCTATAGTTGGTCATACATTTTGGTGCAAAATTCCGGACCGAAAAAGTGAAAAATCGACTCTGTAGGATTTGACCCCAAATGGAGGGCACTGGGGCTAGACACAATAGTGGATGAGAAAAATATCAATTCTAAGGTACGCTGAGTCTTGGTACGCTGAGTTCGAATTTTGTGGTTTCAGGTCAAAAAAATCTTTGAGGGCAGGTGACCCAAAAAATTTCTCTCATCATTCTGAACAACATTATAGTGCATTATAGCACATAATTTTTTGGTCTGAGCATTAAATTGGGATATAGAACCAGTTTGGGTAAAGATAGAGGAGTTTTGGTCAAGTATTTGGGTCGAAAAACTAATGATGCCAATCGATAGAGCACTGAAAACTACCTTGGGTGTAGGAACACACCCCGGGGGTATTACACCTCCAATGACCTTAAATGGGGGTCGGTGTATAGGAACCAAAAGGGGGTAAGGGGGTTTTGGGGGTCAAAAAAGAGGAGAAGGGGGTCGGATGAAAAAATTAATGATGCAAATCGATAGAGCGCCCCAAAATTACCCTAGAAATGTCAACATCTTTGGTACAATTACATATTCGATACCTAAAAGGACATTGAGTAAAGTTCCCCCCCTTGCCCATGTATGTTTATGAGGCTATTTTTGATGGGGCGGATGAAATATTTAAATGCAGAATTGAAGAGTTAGGCGAAAATTTTGTGGTAAAAGAAAATAGTGAATCTATCGATTTTGATTTAACCAAATGAGTTGGGCCCAAAGTGACAATTGGAGACGAGTTATTATTACTTCGGCATTTCAGGTAGTACTAAAATTCATTCAATTTAATTGAATAATTATTTTTCGGTATTATCGATTATTAGAAATTAAAAGATTTTTTAGAAAACACGGTGAAAAGATGGCATTTGCAATGCTTATTAACCTGATGCCGGAGCCGTTCGTTCCTATGCCATATTTGAAGATATTAACTTCCAAATAAGGCTAAAGTGATCTATTCTGAAACTTATATCTGATGCAATTCATTGAAAACCACCACGCACAAGACCGCATCTTACAAGCATTCATTGTCATCGGTTTTCGTATAAAAACGTCAAATTTTATGCTCACACAGTATAACAATAGATCTATACTTGTATTAGTATACTCATAGTGGACGATTACGCGGACACATTATAAATCGCAGTGTAATGTTTATACTATCTCCGTGTAATTCTTCACAAGTCTTCTAATACAAGTATAAAGCTATTGTTATGCTGTTTGTGTATAAAATCTGACGTTTCTATACTAAAACGGCTGACAGTGGTCATTATGCGAAAAAACACAATGGATTGACTTAAAAAAATATAAAAATCCACCAATTAGCACTATTTCCAAAACGTAGATTTTTTATTCCGTTCCCTGAATGGCTTTAATTTCAGTTGCAAATTGTTTCTGCACGGTAAACTTCTGTCGTCGTTGTTCTATATGTACGTTATTTCTTGGTTGAATCCAGTTGTTAATTTTATTTGGGCTGGTGGCTGGAGACTCAGATCTGAATAACGGTTTGAAATTCTTGGGTTAGGGATCGCTTCCCAACCTGTCTGCGATCATTCGAGGTACACACAAATTCTATTGCCGTTGGTATCATTCGACTTTGATCTGATGCACATATGACCGGAGGCACATTATCTGTACATACGTTGTACATAACCAATAAACCTTGCACGGCTGCCTGCAAATTAGTCATTGTGGTTTGCAAATTAGTCATTTCAGTTTGCAAAGTGTCAATTGTTCCATTTTGAGTGTTATTTTTTCATTTTGTTGCTTTATTTCATTCTCCATTCTAGTTATTTTTTCTTTCAAATTTTAAATTTCTGCTTAATCATTGCATTTAAGGTCTGTTATCTCTTGGACTTATTGAACAAATACGTTTGAGGTCATTTTTAACTGAGAGATGTTTATTCGTCGGCGTCTAGTATAACAATGATATTGAACTAACTGGTCAGTTGAGCTGAGAGAACGTTAGCCAGCTAAATGGACTAAAAAAATAGAAGTTATTGTTATAATGAACAATCACTTCTATTAAAACAAGAAAAGTGATTCATCATTGAAACTATGAAGTCTATTATTTTAGCCCATTTAGCTGGCTAACGTTCTATCAGCTCAACTGACCACACACATAGAAGTAATACAATGAAAACTAGATGACTTGTCGTATAAAATTTGGAACTAGTTGACAGTTGACACTTCGTATAAAATTGTATTTGTCCATCTAATTTCATACCAAACATCGTTTTTGTGTAAGAGTTTTGTGCGGTTCTTTCGAGTGCTTTGAAGAAGATCCGCATAAAAGAGAATACCCCAAAACGATAGTTGGTATGAAATAAGATGGACAATTACATTTTTTTATGGAGTGTCAACTAGTTCCGAATTTTATACGACAAGTCATCTAGTTTTCACTGTATAATTTTTTTGTGTGTAGTTAGTTCAATATTATATTGTCTGGATGGGGGTGGAAATAGAAAATTTCTATCGGTGTAGAATTTCTATCGGTTTTCCCCAGTATTTGTCATTTGGCTTGCTGCAAGCAGCTTGCTTGCCTGCGTCGCCTATCATGCGGCAAACAAGCAAACATGCGGACACATATACGGCAAACGAACCATAGGTATTATACGGTTTTCGTTCGTGCGACCAATACATCTACACAGATACACACGATACAACGTGTTCGCGGAACTGTGTACCGCATCTTGAACGAACGAAAACCGTGTAATACATATGGTTCGTTTGCCGTATATGTGTCAGCATGTTTGCCGTACGATAGGCGACGCAGGCAAGCAAGCTGCTTGTAGCAAGCCAAATGACAAACACTGGGTGTAAATCCCATTTTGCAAAACTTTATCCGATCAAAAAATAATGTACTACAAAGTTGTTCAGAATGACAAGAGAAATTTTTTGGGACCCCTTGTGGCCACCCCTGGTGGAAACTTGGCCCAAAATGTGAGAAAAATTAGTAGTAGGCTTTGATTTTCTTTTCGTTTTGGCTATATTCCGCATGATTTGAAATAAAGTCAATTAAAAACTTGTTAAAAACCAACTACAATGAAAAAACAATGAATTTCAATAGTTTATAAATAATCTATATTCGCTATTCTATATATTTTTCATTCAATTAATTTGTTTTGCCTTATAAAGCGTGTTTTTATACGAATGTATTCATGTTACAGCTAAGCGATTTAAATAAATTTGTTTTTTTTTTGTTTTGTTTCAATTCTAATGAAGAATATTTTAATAAAATTCATAATATTCATGCAATTTAAAAAGTACCAGCCTATCAGACAATTTGCTGCACATTGAATTGATACTTCTTTTGTACATCGCTTACGCTGTGTCTTGGTGTGACTAAAATCGTTCGTAATGGGAACTTTGGCTATCCTGTTTAGTAACATTTCCATTTTCAAAGCAATTTGCTGTAAAAATTGTGTTTCGTGTGTTGTGTGTGTGTCACCTAATTATTCAAAAGAATATGGATGGAGGAAAGAATCTTTGTTTTTGAAAAAAAGGAAATAATCTAAAGGAGGTTTTGAAATTTTCTACGTCTACTATTCAATTATCATAACTATGGGTGTTTTCACTATATTCAGGCCATTCTATGTTGATCATCTAAACCGCCGTCAGTTGGTTTTTTTTTATTGTTGTCTGAAATTGTTTCAGTTTTTTTTAATTTCTTTTTCTTATAGAAGCTGTTTAAAATACAATACACAATTCCTATCTAGACATACAATTTACCACTTTGAAACAAAAAAAACATCTTGACATATCGTAAATAGAGTAGGCAAATTGAATAACAATTTTTTTTCTGTTTTGTTCAACACATGTTTCATATATCGCCTCGTTTATAAGAGAACTTTTCACTTTTCAATTTATATGTATATACAAAAGGGTTTTTTTCATTTATTTGTTCATTTGAACGATATAATTTGTTTGTTTTTAACAATTTTACTCTGCAACAGTGCCCAATTCGCTTGCTGCTGACTTAGCAGAACTAATTAATGAGTTAGCCGATTCATCTGAATTAAGATCGATGGCGCTAATTGCTTCTGAAATGAATGTATCACTTTGTGTTTCGGTTATTGTATCAATTTCGCTCTCTAGAGCAGCCGGTGCTGTTGAGTTTATGATATCCGTTTCGACACCTTCATCTTCTGCTTCAGTGGCCGATATTAAATCCTCGCTTCGTTCATCGAATACATTGTCATCCATCGCACTATTTCCACCTCTAATATTTGTAATGCTGTCCATTGAATCATCTAAACCGCCCAAACTGCTTGTCTGAAGTGAACGCAACGAATGCAATGAACCGCTTACCGATTTTTGCGATTCCATCGGTCGCAAAACTAAATAAAGCAAAATATCTGATAATGATATAATGCCAATCACTTTGTCTGCTTCATCAACAATGACTAAACGATGCACTTCGGCCCGAACAATGCGCTCCATTATGACATACAGCGTTTCATCCAAAATACACTTTTGAACACCTTCAAACCATGTATTCCGATGCTCATTCGCCTTACGCAACGACACATCCAAGTCATTATACGTTTTCTCAGCGGCTAAATTCTGTGTGAGAATATGGGAAGAGAGCAACAAAGTCAAGCGGTCATTTTGTACAGTGTGCGGTGAGCAAATACAATACTTACAATCACATCAAATTTTGAATAAATGTCGACTAAACGACCCTCTGAATTAACAACTGGCAATGCTGACACACGACGATCAATAAACTTATGCAGTGCACTTATAATACTAGTGTCCTCATTTGCAGTCTCGATATTTTCATAGGTTCCTATACGTATTTCACGCAATGTTTTATGGATGTATGCAGGTTTCGGTAGCTCATTTATCTGCAATTTTATGACATGAATAAAAAAAAAAAAAATGTGATAAAACATAAACATGCGTCTACTCACATATAAAAACAAAAACCGTAGAATTCGTTTGTGTGTCAAAATGTATAAAACGTTGCCGGTTAGTGGATCGATAACGGGCAGTCTATGGATACGATTGGTAATTAACATTTTAATTGCATCAAATAATGATGCATCCGGGGCAATGCTCACCAGTGGCATTACTTGAGCTTTAAGGACACCTGAAACGTTAAATAAGCATTAAGATTTGAATCGTTGTGTGAATTTCAACTCTAAACGTACTTCTCCATGTATCTAGTTTGTGCTCCTCCAATTGATCCATAGACGTATGCGGTGATGTGTAATATGCGCGTAGGATTTTGATAAAATCAGTTATAGTCAACATGCCAACAAATGATTGTTTGCTTGAATCCCACAATGGCGCAGCACGAACACCTAAAATCAGTTTAAATTCGGTTTTATCTCTCTCTTAAAACATTTCCACTTTTTTTTTATTAAAAAAAATTGCTTACCATTGTAAACGAGAGCATAAAATGCCTTCTTCACTAGTAGTTGAGTATCAAACACCACCAGTTTAGCGGACGTTGGTATCAGGTCGTAGCATTTGTGAAAACGGAAAAATTTCACAAAAATCAGAGAATCATCTTCTTCTACGATGAAAAATAAACGATAAAAACGTTAATTAAAACCACTGCTCAAAATGAATTCGTTCAAACGGTATAAATTGATTTGATTGCTTTGCAAATTCCGACCTCTGCGAAGTAAATGAGCTAAGAATCGTTTCCATGCTTCGGACACTTGTTCAAATTCTTTAATACTTTCTAACGGATATGTATCGAATGACCACCAATCACGGTATTCATCGTTCAGTACCAATCGACCGGCATGATTTGAATAGAAATGAAGTTGAAGCATCTTTTGATATTTCCAACTAAATTAGTCTCTCTTATTATTATTTACAAAATTATAAAATTTCTACTTGGAAATCTGCACGCATCTTATATAGAAAAACTCCCACAGAAACAGAGCGAAAAAAACGCACGTAAATCACAAAAATAGTACAGAGTAGTTGTTATATTGTCGACACAATTGTGAACACAGACGCACACACACACGACAAGGATCTGATGTGAAGCAACCCATTCGATTTAATTATGTAACAATGTTTTCTTTTTCAATAAACATATTCATTTCAACAAAACGAAAAATGCTCGGTCAAAGATCGATGAATAAAACTTGATTAGTTTTGCAGGGGATGCGTCGGTGTGATTTGTAGTTTTATTTAAGGTTTCTTTTCTTTTCGGTAATATAAATTTAGAAGCAAAATGAATTTGTGTACGGTACTGAAATGCGATGCAATCCGTTTGATAGACAGTGTCATCGCATTGAAGACGATGTGCGAACAAAATTGACTTCGGAAAACGCAAACGACAGAGAAGAAGAGAACACCAACTGCTCTGTCGAACGGACATTTTTTTTGGTTAAGCGTCAGAGCCAATTTGCCAGCTGATTTCTATTATTAACATTGGAAAACGAACACGATTTGGTACGAACGAGTTTAGAGATACTTTTCGGAGCTAAGACGATGTGTAAACAAATTTGAAGTGATGTTCGATGCCACAGCCGTTCGGATTCGCTTCTCTCTAGTTTGTGTTTTTATCGACTTTAATCGGATATTTTTCTGTGAGTAAAATCGCTGTGCTCATTTCAAACGAAGAAATGTTTATAGCTCAGAACGGTGCGATTGAAACGCTTTGAACGAACACCGAATTACATGTAAACCTATTTTTAAAATCACGACGAGTCACACATTTTACGCATGCGTCATTCGAACGGGGCTCGAACAGAATCGTAAACAAGATCAACGTTGAGATTTCTTTGATTGTTCGCTCGTTTAAAAAAAAACCAAGTGTCATTAGCATCATCCGAATAAAATAACTAGCGTTCACGGCGCTGTGTGGAAACTTACCCGAATCGCACATATTGTACTTTTCCAAAAATGGATCCGCAACGGGTAGCTAAACGAAACGAAAATTGTCGAAATGATTAAACATTGATCGCAAACAATGACAAGCATTTTTTCGAGTGAAATGCACTCCGCACACTTACGCCTCTTGAATCACGAAATAGAATGGCTGCATAATATGGATCTAGTGTACCATCGGAACGTAGGCCACGTGTTGCGCCCAATGAAGCACGTCGCTTTTCCAATTCAGCCGATGCCCGTCGCATTATTGCACTCTGAGTTGCCATTTGATGTTGTAGCATCGAAGCCGCTTTCTAAACAATTCAATTTACATAAACAAATAAATAAATGAATGTGTTCTTGATTTTGATCTGTTGAAGATGATCAATAAACGTACCGCTTTACGCTTGTCAGCCTCTGAAGTGGCTGAATTTGATCGATGTCGAAACAAGTCCATCATTTTTGTCATCGGCGATTTTGCGTGATCGAGTCTTCGCACGGCTGTCACAGTGTGATAATACTGAGCATCGCTGCCACCGTGCGGATGCGCCGAACCATCACGATATTTTGATGTCTTTGAATCGGATTTTGTTCCAATAGTGTGTTGCATAGCAGCTTTCATACTATGCATTATACCCGAACCGCTATGTGTACTACTTCCGCTTGCACTACTATCCTTATCGGCCGATTGTGCTTTGGCCAATTCACGTTCCTTTCGTTTGGCATCCGATTTTGAACGTGGACGAAATACATCGAAAATTGTCGGACGACGATTTGGACTAGCAATACCGTGTACGGTTGACTGATTTATTATTGAATCGCCGTCGCCACTCTTTCGCCGTTCCAATGAGTTTGAGCGGTTATTTTTCCTTAAAACAAACAGATAATGAAGACATTTTTTTCACATCAATTCATCTTGATTTACTCACTTCTTTGGTTTAAGTTCATCTTTTTTGTTTGCACCATCTTTTTCAGGGGCCGCCTTTACAGTTTCACCATTCTTCGTTGATCGACTACGGCCATCGGCTTCCTGTTTTCATAATAGAAATAATCATTGCGTATTAAAAGAAATGACATTAAAAAACGGTCTTATATTGTTTAAAAAAATCCAACGATCGATAATATCATTCAATTGTCTTTCGTCGTATCATTTTTTCGATGAATTTAAAATTCAATCTCAAACGATAAGCACTTACAATCAATTGTACTTTGGGTTTGAAATCTTTTCGTCGTTCCCAGATATTGCCATCGTTGTTAGGCGACTTTTCTTGACTACTAGTATTCAATGTTAGACTCGATGTGTCCAACGATTGCATGCTGGTCGCATTGATACGAACTAATGATGTATCGAAATATCGTTTATCTAAATGCGGTTCAAATGTTCTATTCGTTGCAAATAGACTGCTCAATGCTGCTCGATTCGATGACGACGATGAACATGGAAAACTAATTGTGGCCGCATTTGATTTGGCCGATAAATTGCGTAGATTTTCGGCTTCGGGCCGAAGTAAGACATTCGAATCCATGCGAGTGACAATAAATTTACGTTTGGCACCAGTTTTGACTTGTGTATCATCGACAACAATTTTGTTATCGTCGGTTGTGTCGTCGGTCTTATTGCCATTGGTAAAATTATTATTGGCCAAATCACGTTTATGCATATCATTTTTGTCGTCAGTGATGTCATTATCATCACCATCGTCGTCGTCGTCGTCGCTTAAGGTCAACGGTGAATTTGATAATATTTCATTGGCACTGTTGTTTATCAAAACCGTTTTTCGTAGATCGCCACCAGCGCTGGCTGCCAATATATCGGTCGATACACGATACAAAATGTCTGATGAAGACGGAGAAATATCGTTTATGACATTATTCTCGTCAATTTCTGGCAAACGCTTAAACTTTGCCAATTTACTGGTGGTGAGTGCTGTTGCACTTGCCGGTGGCGGTATTGTTACCGTATCGATACTTTCCAAGTCATCCATTGATGCAGCGAATTCTCGCTCAAATTCGTCATGCAACATTATTATGTGCCAATTACGTTTCACTCAACAAAAAAATTCAAAATAAATTCGTCTACTTCAAAATTTAAGTAGTTGATGGTCTTTGATATCGTATATTGCTATAATCTATCTTTTCTCTTGATCGTTGTCACACACATGCAATGTCATCAAGTGTTTTATTGTCGTTGTCGTCCACAGATGACATTTGCTAATCAATCGTAATATAGCAAGCAGAAAAAATACTGTTATGTTGTTTTTTTTCTTTTCAATCGTTAAAAGCAACGGTATTGAAAATGATGAACGACACAAAATACAAACAATCAAATGAAATTGCAGTCGTAATTGTTTTTATTGGTATTACTTTGTCTATCAGTCTCTTATTCACTTTGTAGTTTAGCTTTTGACTTTGTTTTAATTGCTTAAATGAACATTTTAATGTATTTCACATGTGATTCCTCTTTCACTTATAATGCGAAATGTCATACACACACACACACACGCACACAAACATACCCAATCGCTGGATGTGAATTATGAATGTGGCACAAAACAATAACAACCATATAGATGAAATATATTTATTTACTTGAGAACGATTGGCTATGTGATTTCTTTCTTTGCTTTTGAGTTCTTTTCAGAAATGTTTGTTTCTTCTTTTTTTTCAATTGAAAGCTGTATAAAATTACGCGAAAACGATTAAAAATGAAATTGTACACTGAGCAAAGTAATCGCTTCAAGAGTTATATTCATAAATGACTAAAATCGTACACCACTGACATATGAGGCGATCGTTATACGATCAAAAAAAGTCGAGGTAATAAATAGTCCAGTGTTAAATGAAGTAATAGTCGCTGATGATTTAATAACTCTCTTAATGCATTGCTATTTTTGTACATTCAACACAATACTTCTTATTTATCCCTAGTTGTTGTCATTATATTCTTTCTTCATCATTTTCTTAATTCCGTTCGGCGTTATTTTAGCACTGATTGCCCAATGTCTTTTGTTTGACTGATGAATTTGGGCCGAATTTTTTTGTCAAATAAGTGAAGAGTATGTGTTGAGACGAAATTTTGCGTCTTTTTATGGTTACAATGATAATAATCACAATGCGTTTGCGCGCTCGCACACCATTGTCATTTGTTATCTCTATCGTTTGCTTGTTTTGTGTGTTCAGGCAGAACATACATACAACATCACAAAGAGAGTACGACTCGTACGAATCGAGAATAATTCAATTGAAGTTATTTTTCCGTCTTTATTTTGTATGGCACACACGATTGCTCTTTCGGTTCTGTCGGTGTATTTGTTGACGTCGTCGCTTCTGTGACTTGAGAGAGCCACTCAAACATTTATTTATTTCAATGAATTCACAATTTATTTACTCAACGGCCGCACAATTGTTTATGCACGTTCCAATGTCACACACTCACTTACTCATTTTTCTTTAACAAGCACATTTTATTTACAATTTACATTTAATTTACATTGCTCAATTTGTCAACGAAATGTTTAAATTTCAATCACTTCGTAATCCTGTGGGGCACACATATGGTTTTCAGTTATGATTATCGGACTCAATCGTTTCCATTAGTTTCTTTTTGTTTTGTATGTGTATGTATATCGCGTATGGATGAGCTAATCTCGATTTTCGTCTTGCATAATTTTCCATAGAATTTATTTGTTGTTGCTGTATCTCTACTGTAATAAATTATGCAAATCAAATTCGTTGATTTCTATCTGAACAATAAAAAATTGTCTATTTTCGATTAATCTCTGGCCGGCAAACCATATCTCTTCGTTCATGTCGATGTCATTTCTCAATCGACAAACGTAAATTCTATCACATTTCGATTTTGTTTAAAAATTTTGATTAATTGCTCATCATTCATATCGTATCGATGACTGAAACTGACCGAATTAGATGCTGGTGATGTAAAGTACAGGCGATTCAATTTGAATATGCACTCATACTTACACACACCGAATACTCTCAGAATACAGAAAATCTATTAAAGTCAATTATTATTTTTATGAGTTTTTATACATAAACACAATGGAAATTAGATGAAAAGAAGGACGGTTCTATTTCTATACAATACTATATACATACTACACGATATCTTGGAGAATAGAAAATAAAGCACAGAAAAAAACCGTGGATCTTGGAGCGACTTTTAATCACGTTTAGATCGTTCGTGCCAATGCGCACGTCCAACGCGATGAGAACGACTGTATGTGTTTATTGTTTTTTTACTCGTTCAATGCGTCGCGGATATGAACCGAAGCGCTTAGAACATGAAAAGAGAGAATAGAAAAATGTATAGCAGCTTCGTACATTTCATGAAATGGAAAATGATCTAAGTTTTACGTCATTTTTGTGTGTGAAAAAAAGTATAGTTCTCTCTTCGATTCTATTTCTTTCTCTTCACGATCACAACATAACAAGCAGTAACTGTATGCATTGGACATTTTAAATGTGTGCATATAGTTTTTTTCCATGAAATTGGGTGAAATCGAAAATAATGAGAATTTGTATGCGAAACGCAACAAAAAAAGAACCATACACGCGAACGTCAAAACACATGATTTCAATCGCGCTTTGTTTGACAGTTCTTAATGCGACCGCCGAAAGAGAGAAAAAGAAAGAGAACGAGACGGAGACAGAAAAGAACGAGAGAGATTGAGTTTAAAGAGAGAAACACAATAGGCAAGGCAATTCATACATTTTTTTTTATCGGGGTTAATTATGATTGTATATATTTGCTTTTTCATTAAGCGATACAAAACGAACAAAGAAAGAAGAAAAATCAAAATCAATGAAGTCAATTAACACATCAAGAGAAAGAGACAGAGGAAACTATTTTCTTAAATAATATTCGAAATGAATAATTCTCTGCATTTCTGTCGATTATTTCACATTTTAAAAATCACATTCTATTTCGAACACATCACTTTGGTATGAGAATCTTTTTTTTTACTTCTATGACAGATTTTTTTTCTTCTCCGATTTAGATGCAATTTCTTTGCCATTTTTTTTTTGCGAAACTAAAATCGGAAACGATCCACGAGGTGAATCACTTGTAATAATAATAACTGAAATCCACACTCATAACACCTATAGTCAACAATACTTTACTGACGTTGTTTTGCATTGGTTGCAAGTAAAAAAAAGTTTCTTTGATGCACTGATCACATGAGAGCACCAAAAACAGCTGCAATCCACTTCGACATTGTGTAAATTTCTAATTCAAGTTTTTGTCGAGTTACTGAAAATATTGAAGTGTACCAACGAAACTGGTTCCACGATGAGAATCGATGACACTACTATCACATTATTAAAAAAAAAACAACACTGGAGAAAAAGAAGAAGAAACACACACACCGAGAGAAAGAGAAAAATACACTGCTCGAGCAAAATAAATTCGTATGGAACGCGAGTTAGGTGGAGATCGACTGATTGCTGTATCGCTGTTGTTGAACGCAACAAAGTCGCAGGCCTCCGTATGATAACTAATCGAATTTAGATTTGGTTAAAGTCCCGCATTGAAAAAAATATATATGAAAACAATGTAGTAATCGTTGCGCACACTGCCGATGACGGCAACACTGACAACAAATTCAACGACGGATCACTTTCAGTTTGGAGTGAGTTCACCTTGTTATCGTAGGTGTACGACGTTTAAAATACATATATGTATATTTATATCCACACATATACGTTTCCATACGTTGGCTCCGTTCGAAATTCGAAACTGGTTTCTTTTCGTCTTCTGTCGTTTAAAAGACAGTTACGCAGTACTTATGTTTTGTTTCTCCTGTTTTTTTCTTTCACTTTGTTTACTCGTTTAAGTCATTGTTTATTGATCTCGTGTTGAATTAATCATATTGTTTTCTGGTTTCCCTCTCATATGACTCGTAATACGGTTTATTTACGAATTTTGTCTTCTTGGTCAATGTTTGGTTTGAGCATAAGGGACGAATTGTTTGATTGATATCGATCGTTGGAAGTAAATAGATAAATAATCGAAAAGAAAACTTGTTATTAAGTACCTCAATCGTAAAATCCCAATCGGGCGATGGTGTGCGTCGATTGTGTATATTGGCATCATTAACGGATGGCGAAGAGCTCGGCTCTTCGGGAATTACAGCAAATCGACCGCGTTGCACACATGGCGATGTCGGACCATATGTTCCTACAAGAATAAAACCGTTTTATTGCTTATTGATTTAATTGAAAAAGAGAATATTTGCTTAAAAACAACCACTACTCGAATATCATGAAGAAAACACAATAAATAAAAAAAAATCGTTTCATCTTCTTCTTCAGTTTTATATTCGATACCTTGTGGAATAATGCGAAATCTTCCGTGTGATAGCTGTTCTGGTGGTCCTGGTGAATTGGGTGGACAAATCCTGAAACGACCCATACGAGTTGTAGACGTATCACCTTCAGCCATAGTTAAACTGCAAAACGACAATAAACTATGTTTAAATTCCATTGGAAATAGTTCTGTTCTTGTTAAATTGTTGGTAAACAAAATGAAAAACCAATGTGCAATCGAAGCAGAAATGCAAATAACATGAAAAGTCACGACTTGTTTGTACACAAAATGAAAACAAACTAAACACCGTACCGCAATGATGGGCTTGATATTTAATAAATATATAAAAATTCCAATTTGAAATGCAATTAAGTAATTGAGTTAAAGGACAACTCCTGCGCTCAATTATGTAATTTAATCACAAGGAATGACAACTGAGAAAAATGAAATCAGCGACAAAAGAGTCCACAACATTGAAAAATGTAAACAATGATGAAATAAGAAATGTATCGATTTTCGCGCATTCACACTCAATTCCTGATGACATTTATGTGCACCAATACACACAACGGATAGGCAGTGAATGAACCGAACCAATACACTTGAAGATGGTTCGTTGAACAGTAATATCGCATTGTGTACAAGCGCTGTGAATGAGACAAGCAGCTGAGCCACCACTACGCATACATTCGTATATGTCCGTGTGTATGTAGATACATCAAACGTACGTCATTTCAAAAAAAATCAACAACAATAACAAGAAGAAGTAGCAGCAGTCACCACTTTGAGAGCGACCCCATGCACGCTTCTCATACATAAACAACAACAAATATTTGCACACACGAAATCTCAAAACAATCAAAAAACCGAATTGAATTGTTGCACTAATTTCACTTTTGCCTTGATGATTTATATGCAATGAGCCGCTAAGAGATGTAAGAATTTGAATTCTTTTAAATGGAACAAAGTGATTTGCCGCTGCTGAACCGATTCGCATGAATGCGCTAACTGAATTGAATCAATTTTCAATAAATGTAAATATTGAAGTAAATATAGCGCCGTACACATCTTATGAGATGATATTCGCACAATATCATGAACAACAAAACACTTCTCGTGAATTGAATAAACAATTTGGTGAGTGTTTTTTTCTTAATTTGTTTTCAATGGTAGAAAGAATTCAAAATCACTCTTGCCCTCTAGCTTCCTTTCGATATGATACACTTGTCTCGCTCTCTGTGAGTTCGATGATTACGCTTATCATAGCTATTCGTTTGCTCATAATTGTAATCATAAAGTTTCATTTTATTTTGGCATTTAATGCATGAACAGTGAACACACACATACACAAACAACATTTAAGAAAAACTACAATTAAGTTCATGACATACACTCACATCGAGACGAAAACAATACGTCAAGATAAAGTGGACAATTATCTAATCAATACATGGTCTATCACAAGAAATTAACCAACAAGGAATCACAATGCTGGTGTTGATCATTCTGCGTGAATCATTCTCATTAAGATTAATCGCAATAATAATCACTGCACACTACATTTCCGCGCGCGCACACACACCTTTCGATCGAATTGCGATAAAAAAAAAAACAATGTTGCGATTTCGTGCAGTCACGAAGGTCCTTTCAATCAAGGACTTTCTTTTCTTTCTATATTCGAATTCGTTCTAGCCTAATTGCCGTCTGCCTCATACAAAACTGTACCTTAAACACCCATTTTAACTAGCCACAATGTTTTTGCTTTTTATAATTCGAATAAAATCGCACGATTCATACAGATGATGTGCACAGTCTGACGATATTTTATGCAATGGCACTGTGACTCGAATCGACGATGTACGTCACGGCTAAAACAATATGCTTAATAAACCGAATGCGAATCGATCACAGTTTCGGAACAACAAACCGAACAACACCCAAAATAGAAGCAATTCAAAAATCCAGTTTTTTTCTCGTCTCCTTGCCGTATTTGTCATTGGACGTTTTGAGATGATACTTTTTGATTATTCACCGTCGAATATATTAATTTGATTTATTTTTTTGTGGTTCTGAACTGTCTATTTTGTTGCTTGCTGCTCTGCATCTATGTCTACACAATTTGCACGACTAATGGACTTAATTTTAACTACACATTCATTGTCATAGCAATTTGATAAAATTGAAACCATGTAATGTGATATCTTGCCGCAATTAAATAATAACACATTTGATGTGTCAAAACACTTTAGGCACAATTATGTTTTAAAGCCTGCAATAAAAACAACGATATCACTGTGCTCAGACGACAGTATGTTGAGCCCCGAAGTGAATGAGATTAAGCTACACAATAAACTGTAATATTGAATTCTTCGATAATTGTGTGATACAAATGAATTCCAAGAATTGCCAAAAAGAACTGCTCAAGAAATGACTAAGTCTTATTGAAATTTCACATTCGTCGCGTGTTCGTTTTTTCTTAATTCAGTTTACAATAGCTTTCGTTTAACATATTCGATATTATTTACATGTCTATTCGACCCATAGTTTTCTATTGTATAACTTCAGATGGGACATGCGACAATAACATACATATATGCAACGATTTATTACTATTTGAGAGAGTCGACAATTTTTTTTTACTTACGAACTTTGCTTTTTTTCTCTGTCGCGCACAATGCAAAACTGTTCACTTATTATTGATTGTTGGTTGTTGGTTGTAGTGATCGAGTTTTTCCACCTATTTTTTGTGTGTATCGTTTCTGGTGGCTTTATTTAATTTATCAGCACTTTTTTATCGTTGTTTATTTATGATGTGTTCGATATATATTGCTTCATTTGTTAATTTATTTTCATGTACCTTTCGGCCTCTTTGCAACCACAATCTTCAGCTTATGTATATTGACTCGGCTTTTTTTCCTTTTTCTAATATCCGAACATACAAATTCAATTTGACTTGGCAATCTGTGACCTTTTTTTTTTTCTTTCTCGCTCTTCTTCGGCAGCCCGAATTATGTTTGCTTAATTTCGAAATTAGCTAATCCATTCTTTACAATGTTCAGAAGTCAAAAAGCACTTTTATCTAGTTTGCGTACGAGATGTGTAACATTTTTTTTCTCAGTTCATTGTTGATTCATATTGATGCCGATTGTCAAATTGACCTTTTTTTTGGTCAGCCAATTCATCAAAATTCCCGAAAATCAACGCGAGTTACGATGGCTATTATTTTACACTTGATTCATGGTCTTTTTTCGGTCGCAAATACCATTGACACTGTATTTTACTGGTATGAATTATCGAATTTGTGTATATGAATGTTTGATTTTATTTTATAAAATATTTTTGAGGATGATTGAAGATGATGATGATGAAAACGTAATACGCGAAATGAAAATAGACGAATGAAAAAGTGCTACTAACACTATTTTATCGTTGCGCGCACACATCAATCCAAATCTTAAGCAATGATATTGCGAACGTGAGACGTCGCGACGTCTACAACAACACACAAACACACATAGAATTTTGCGTGATTTTGCTTCACTCAAATGAAATATATAACATCGCATCGGCCTGCACGTAGGATAACATGTGATTGGCGCGAAGCTCAATTGAATGCAGCTGTTGTCCACTCTGCTATTTCGTTTCGTTATTGTTTGTTTTTTCTATGTATGTTTTTCCCCTCTCAGAATATTTCAATTAAGTTTTTTTTTCGTTAATTTAACATTCAATTGACGACATTTCATGCTCAATTCATTGAATGTGAGGTATTTTCTTTTTCGGTTTTATAAATAACACAATTTGTTACACCATCCCTTTTTCGCATTGCGTGTGTTGTGTGCTACAGTTTTTTTTATTCTCTCGATACATCGAAACGAAAAATCACCATGTAAATGGGCGAGAGGAAACGGTAAACAAACGCAAACTTATGTGCGCTGATAACGTAAACCAACGCAAACCGTTTTATCCACTCTGACTACAAACAGTAAAATTCACATTTTGAAATGACATTTATGTGCCGAGAAACACACAAACATTTGATAGCACGATATACGTTCGAATTTAATTCATGCTTTTGACAGTCTGTATGTGTAATTGTGTACGTGTAGTTGTTATTCTCTTCGATGATATGTTCCCTATCGGAAACCGCACGAAGTAATTTGACAGATGTAATTAGCTAATGGCATTATTGCAGGTATAAAAGTCACAGTGCACAATACTACACACATAATATAAAAACTTTTGCTCAAGCATACAGACGCTTTTAACTTTCTTCTTCAATTGTTTTGATAATAAAATCTTGTGAAAATGGGTGAAAAGAACAACGACCAAAGTATCATGGATAAATCCATGCGATCGGTTTTCGGTAAGTGATTTTTTTTATTTTTAAGTGTGCACTTTTGAATAGACTTGATGTTAATTATGTTTATGTATTTTGCAGTCGGAAACATTCCATACGAAGCCACCGAAGAAAAGCTAAAGGAGATTTTTAGTGAAGTTGGACCAGTGCTATCGTTAAAGTAAGTTGAAATTGAAGAAAAAAATTATTGACGTTGAACTAAAAAATCTTAATTAATTTCTAGGTTAGTATTCGACCGAGAAAGTGGCAAACCAAAGGGATATGGTTTCTGTGAATACAAAGATCAAGAGACCGCATTGAGCGCGATGCGAAATTTGAATGGCTATGAAATTGGCGGACGTACACTTCGTGTGGATAATGCGTGTACAGAAAAATCACGCATGGAAATGCAACAATTGTTGCAAGGACCGCAAGTCGAAAATCCGTATGGTGAACATTGCGATGCCGAACAGGCACCGGAAATCATTACAAAAACTGTAACCTCAATGCCACCAGAGCAAATGTACGAATTGATGAAGCAAATGAAATTATGCATTCAAAATAATCCCAGCGAAGCACGTCAGATGTTATTGATCAATCCACAATTGGCGTATGCATTGCTTCAATCAATGGTCGTTATGCGTATTGTTGATCCTCAAACGGCTGTGGTAAGTTTTATTATTTCATTTTACTTTAAAATTATTTCAAATCTTTTCCAAAGTTACGATTTTACAAAAAAAGAATTTTCAACTATTTAAAGACAATGCTGTTCCGTTCTAATCAAATGCCGCCGGTGATTTCGAATAACTCGGCAATGGTTCCACAAAGTATGCCACCAAGTTCGAGCAATCCAATCAATTCAATGGGAATACCCAATTTCCCAGTTAGTCAAGACATTGATCTACGCAGTATGGGTAATGCAATATTTTTTTCATTCATCTTTCTTTTTTGATCAGTTCAATTATATACTAACAATTTGTATTCAATTTACTTCACAATAGATCCGCGTCTCAATCGAAATATGGATTTGGATATGCGTTCAATGCCGGGAAATTCAATTGGCAACTCAAATATGATGGATACATCATTTATTCGACAACCGCCGAATCAGTCAAGGCCACCTCAAGCTGTGCCACCATTTCAGGTTGCGGATCCTCGTGCTGATCCACGCGCCGATCCACGGGCTGATCCACGAGCCGATCCACGGGCCGATCCAAGGCAACGGGCTGATCCACGTATGAAAGCGCAACAATCCAATCAACAAGCACAGCAACAATCTTTATCGGTACTAAACCGCGGTGCTCCGACAAATGTACCTGGCGTTATTCCAAACGATGCATCCGACAACGAAAAGGCTCAATTGATTATGCAGGTGCTACAACTTAGTGACGAACAAATTGCCATGCTATCACCAGAGCAACGAGCCAGTATTCTAGTACTAAAGGAACAAATTGCCAAGAGTACACCACGTTAAACAACATCATTAAATTTCATTTATAACTTTAAAACGATGTAATATGCATGATTAACTAACTATATTGTATAAGCTTTGACAAATTATACAAATAATGTTTTTGTAGAATTAATTGAAAAAATACCTTTTCAATTTTGGTTCCAATAAAATAACTTTAATTACCTTAACACATTCCGAGTATTGTTTTTTCTCATCATTACAGCTCCTAATGAGTATATCTCATTAGAAATGTTGTCCCTATTGGAAGACAACAAAACCGGCAATATAGTTTGACAGGTAGAAATCATTAACAGATCGTTTTTTTTTTTCAAACACGTTGAGACCGCTGCTCTTTAATCATACGAACATTTTTTGGTTTTTTTTTTGTCACCTTCGATTTTTCACAGATGGATGAAAAGATGGGCGAAGAAAATAGTAAGACTCGCGATATCATAGAAAAGAGCCTGCGAACGGTTTTCAGTAAGTGAATTTTCCAATTTTTGAACTTAAAAGGAAACAAGATATCTTTGTTTGGATTTATTTACGCTTATCAAAAAAATTCAACAATCGAATCATCAATCGAATATCTTGTGCTTGGGTTTAAACATAATTTTGTAATTTTGCAGTCGGAAATATCACACAAAAGATCACTGAAGACCAATTAAGGGGCATTTTCGGCGAATTTGGATATGTTCGTTCTCTAAAGTGAGTCGAAATATGAGAAAAAAACTACCGTTAGCAAATTCAGATGGCAATATCAAAAATAATCAAAGCAAAATGGCATCCATATAGAGAATTATAGTTAGTAAAATAAACCTTTAGAGACACAGTAAAAAAATGTGGAATTCTAATTTTATAGAACCATCCATTATTTTCATCAATGTATCTCTCTGAATTATAACAATTGCGTGGTTTATTTTACCATCTGTAATTTTTTATCGATGGTAAAATGTAAATTTACTCTGACTAATTTTGATTTTGCCATTTGTATTTACTAAGAGTATATTTTCAAAAAATCACATTTAATTTCTAGATTTATAGAAGACACAGATAGTGCCAAAAAACATAAAGGCTACGGTTTTTGTGAATACAAAAATCGGGAAACTGCTTTGAATGCGTTACGAAATTTGAATGGCTACGAAATTGATGGACATAAATTAATTGTGGATAATTTATGTTCAGAAAAATTACGCATGGTGCAAGCGCAGCTGATGGTGGAAAGGCCACACAAAAAAATCGCAAATCCCTATGATACATTCTGCAATGACGAACAAGCACCCGAAATTATCACGAGAATTGTAACTTCCACGGCACCAGAGCAAATGTATGAATTTATGAAACAAATGAAATTATATATTCAAAAAAATCCAAGCGGAGCACACCAGATGCTAGTGCTAAATCCACAATTGGCATATGCACTGGTACAATCAATGGTCGTTATGGGTATTGTTGATCCACAAAAAGCTGTGGTAAGTTTTATTTGTGCCATAAAGTTCATTATCTTCACCAAAACTCGCCAAATATATTACTTTTTTACCAATTTATAGTCAATTCTGTTCAAGCCAAGTAAAATGCCACCGGTCAAAAACACAAACGAAAAAATCCCGGAAAATTCCATCGATTCAAACAGTTCTATCCCATTGCAAAATAATGCCATCGTCAAGAAAGATGTTGATTTCCCCGAAATTGGTAATATAAAAACACTATTTCTTTCAACAGCTTTTTTAAATTCGTCTAACGCTCTAAAAATCTATTCTCTCAGATTCCACAATACGAGAACGACACTATTTTACGGGTTGTTTTGATATATCGCCTCCCCCAACGAAGGTCAATGGTTCTCAGCCATCCACAAGTCACAAACGGTCCTTGGATTTAATAACGAAAAGCCCAGAATCAAGTAAAAAAACAAAATATTCTTCGGCTACCGCTCAAATTGATGATGTGAATGATCCAGAGACCCAATTGTTAATGCAAGTTATGACTTTGAGCGATGATACGATTGCATCGCTTCCAGCTGATCTAAAATCAGCCTTTCACGTTCTAAAGAAAGAATTTGGTGTAAATACCGCGAATTGATTCTTTTATCTTAAGCGACATATGAAAACCCATCAAAATCATTAATTCTATCATTTTATTGTTATAAATCTATTTTAATCTGAATTGGAAATTGTCATTTATTAGAAGCATGTTTAAGGTGAAATGTTACCAGTTTTGTATATTTTTATTATATTAGGGAATATTAAAGAATAAAAATCGTGTCGTCCCAGCACTTTGTATCAAACTTATTGCAACATAAAATAAAATAATTTCGAGCAACACTTTTATTTGAAGACATGTTATTCGGTTATATTATTATACTTTCGTTTTCAAAGTCATGCTAATGTGTCTCTGTTGAATATGAATGTTTATACGACTAACAACGCCATCTAATGGCCGGAATGAACAGATTTTGTTTACATTTAATTATCGATGCAAACGATATAAAAAAAGAATGAAAATATTCATGGAAAAAATTAATTCTTTTATATAACACTCGTAGTAAGTAATGGCATTACTGTGTATATTGGAAGTTGAGCTCAAATCTCAATCGCAAACATAAACAAATTACCTTTTCCCACCTGATTTCGGTGAGTGAGTGTAGTGAGTGTGCGATTTTGTGTGTGTGTGTGTGTTCACATGTTGTAATGCGCGCACGGCTTTCCAGTCTCTATAGAGAGTGTGATTATACTGTGCCCGCGATCAACATCGACTCGACGGAGCAAAACAGAAAATAGCAACAGTTATAGGTAGTAACTCGAGCCGGTCAGACGTAAAACAAATCGTGTGTGCATGCAAAACATATCCAATTCAAATTCGAATATCACTTGTCTTATCCAAATAACAATTTTGTACTTATCTTGTTTTTCTTCATCAACTCTGCGCCAAGGCAATTTATATAAAGTTTACAGAACAATTTAGCATTTTTTTATCTTGAGTAAATTTTTGAACAGTCGATTTTTTATCAGTATTACATTGTGGTCAACAAAAGACCAGTGGCTTTTAAGCATCCACTTTGAAAACAATTTTTGTGCAAAAATAGTGCGAGTGTATATTTTTTTGTTCGGGAACAGAGAGAATTCGTTGAATTTGAACATTCAATTGCAGTTTTAACTAAAGTGATAACAAAACATGCGACAGATTGGAGCCGAGGTAATTTTTTTCATTCACCCTTGAAGTATAAAAAAATATAATAATAAGACAATAATTTTTTTAAACAACTCATCGTGACGCGATTTAATGCATGTCATTCATAATTTCTCTGTGAAATAAACACCTTTTAATTCCATTCGATTTGATATGCTACAATTACATGGCCTGCGGTCAAATAATTGGTGGTTTTTGATAGCCGATTGCGCGATGAATTTGTCATGTTTTTAATTAAAACATCGTTTTGGCCAGACGTTTGTGGTGTCTTGCCTAACAGAAATAAAGTACACGCCTCAAAGCCAATGTCAAATTCATAAATAAAAGACCTATATATTGTATTTCTTTCTACCAATTATCGCACAATTACCAGAAAACGTTTCAAGAGCCACCACATCGTGTGCGTGTGTGTGAGGGTATAACTTTATGGCCATAGTTTTTCTCGCAATTTTATTATATTAGGTTGATTCGAACCTATACAACCGCAACCATGTTATTTTATGACATTTCATTTCACAAACGACCGTTTGTTGAACGACACTGGCAGAGGTAAACCGCATTTTCGCAGCAATCAGCACACACAATCAATGCGCAACGTTATCGGTATCAAATGCCGTTATCGTTTCTTTTTATCAAGTGGAATGTTTTTTTTCGTTTCGTTTGTTGATATTCATTTTATACTTGCTGAAAGGCTGAATTTAGGTGTGTATGGCTAGAAACATTATTATGCCTAAGGTTCGTGCAACGGCACAAAAAACGATAGACGTAAAAACACAGAGTGCCGCAAAAAAAACAGCACTCAAGTAGCCAACTGTCATTGAACAATGGCCCGCATTTCGCTTTCGTTCTGACTGCAATGGGAATGGAATAAATTTGATACGCCAAAACAATAAAGTTCATCGTTTGTTCAAAGGGGGCCTCTGCCATACGCGTCAAATGCGACTATTTCACTGCCAAAACCAGCAAACATATTCACCGTCACTTCTTACGTTACAAGCTAGAATTTCCGCTTTATTTTCAATGAACAGCGAAAAAAAGAGTAAACTTTCTACATAAGCCTATGGTTTTGAATCTAGTGAGTTTCGAATGTTTATTTTTTCCATTTTTACCTCGTTCTCTGTATGTAGGTAAAAAGACGACAGTGAATTAAGCATTGAAGGGGTCACGCATCACGCTAAAATGATTATCTGGCTTCTGTGCCGGAACGATTATTTTGTATACACGGCTCTTTCTCCATGCATCTCTGTCTCTATTTGGCCGCTTTGGCAATTGTGCAATGGTTCAAAATGTCTAAAATAAAACGTTGGCGCGTTGACTTTGACCAATTGCTCCTTCTAAATGTCGTGCATCGCTGAACGCATTTTCTCTTTGCAGCCAAGATGAACTAAAACAAATCTCCACACACAACATCAACAAATAACAATGAATTATTTATTTCGCTTACTTAGATACTTTTTTTTTTGTTTTCTTCTACTACTATGTATAGTTTTTCTTCTTCGTCAAAGTCCAAAAGAGATGTCTTTGTTTTGTTTTCTTTCCGCTTGTTTTTTTTTTTTGTTTCGTTTTCATCGCGTATATATCGTGTAGAAATGCAGTTGGTATTTTTGAAAGCGTGTGCTTATAATGAAATTTAAAAAACAGAAAAAAATGAGAATAGAATTCCGTATATTTGTTTCGTGTGTGCACGAGCGCTTCTTCAATCCAACTTTCTATTTTAACCGTGCAGAATCGCGGTGAGTAAGTGAATGGAGTATTTGTGCAGTTGTCGCAAATTGTCGGATATCTCGATCATGTAAGAAAAGAACAATTGTACGCACTAGATACGTCAGTTCAAACACAGACACCGTAAAATATCGGCTACCCACATTTTGATCAGTGTGCGCGAGCGCGCGCGACAGAAAACAGCTGTAATTTTTTTATTCCGGACTGCGGTTACTTACATTCAATAAAATATGACATAAATCAAGTAACGAGAAACCCCACAATCGACATATTTCGACAAGATTTATTTTTGACATGAAGCCGTAACGATTTTTTTTAAATAATGGGAAAAAAATAGTGAACAAAATTCGGCTTCAAATTGGATGAATGCAATAACAATATTTTAGACGGCGCTATTTTTGTGCCTTTTCATTTCTGAAATTCGATTGCTTAATATAAAAGCATTTTATCAGCTTATATAGCTCTCGAGCTCATGCATTCCAACGAATGTCTTTTTTGTTCATAGATTCAACTCAAACATGCCATTAAAACATTACATTAATTGAATTCCAAATCGAAGAAGCGTCTCGAATCAGAGAGAAAGAGGAGAAATTGATGATAAATTTCCACTAGTGGAAGAAGCAAAAAAAAAAAAACAATCAGTCAACACAAATAAATTGCTTACTTAGCTCATGCAATATCAAAACCGATGTTTATCCTCATTTCGTATTATCATTTTTCTTCTTCTTTTTTTTACTTGAATGCTATTTACGTAATAGCAGCAGAAAGCGCTATTTCTTCATTGCATTCTGTTAATTATTGCGTTTCCATTAACCGGATTCTCCAATTAATTCGTTTTTTTTACTTCTGTTCGTTCGTTTCTGGAGTGATTCTTGTTTCTCACATCTCTCGCTCTATCTTATAGAGTACTTGATCTTTGTGTATCATGTTGAATTGGGTTCAAATGCAGTTTGAAACAAAAGAATGTGTCATGCGATTTACAATGTGTTCCGAATTTGAGTCAAAAGTGCAGATTTGGGGTCGTACAGGTTTTTTTTCGTTCACGTCGTAAAAATAACTGATGGAATGCGTGAGATAAAAATGGTCGCACCATCAATTGTTAGACAGCAACGTGTATATATTTTTTCTGTTCAGAAATTATGACAACTACATATGAAAATAGGTCTAACGCTAAACCGTGTGCACTTCTCAACAAATTGACGAGCATAATACGGCTTTTCTCTACTCCCGGACTTTTTTCTCTCTCTTTATTTTCTCCTTCGTCTTCTCATGACTTCTCTTTAATGTGATACTTGTTAATGTTATAAATGTGCTTTGATCGCGTATAATTCACGTGAATGTATGGCGCAAATAAAGCATATTTTCATTGCGATGACGAACGGCGTCTTATTAAAAATTCTTATAGTCGCTTGTGTGTTTATTTTTTCGCTTCAAATGCGATCATAATCAGGTTTATTGTCAGTTTAAAGCCACACTTCACCTATATTTCCCCACGAACATTGGGTTTTCTTCTTCAATTCGTCATGTTCAGTTCGAAGAAGATCGCGACAATGCCACGCAATTAACCATGATAATACGGTGTTGTGATGATATTAATGCGTTCGCTACTAGGTACTCATGAAAAGTAAAATGATTACGGGGAAATCTAAACTAGTTCTCTAGTCACCACCACTACCACCACCACCACCAACATCGACGTCTCGACGAACTGAAGCGCGAAACAATGTTACATTAAAAATTAAAAAAAGAAAAGATAGTTTTTTTTCGTACGAATAAGTTTTTAACTGAAGCGTGATGTTGCAATTAGATGTTTAAAATTGTCGTTGTTTGTAAGCGAAAGAAGCAAGAAAAAACTTGAAGAACAGATTTGTGATGAGCAAAAGAGAAAAAAAGAGAACCGGTTGACAAGCGTAGAAAATTGACTAATCGACAATGATCGATCGGCTTTAAGAACTAAAGGATGGATCAAGTGTATCTCGCGCACATCACACTTTGGCTGGAAAAATGTTTTCAATGTTGCTTCACGCGCTTCAGGAAATCATTAAGATTTCCGTAAATACCGTTGAATCAATTATTACAGTCGCTGGCCTTTGGATATCATCGAGGTGCGCGAACTGGAAACAAATGATACTCCATAAATACACACACATTAGAATACAGTTCGATTTCGATTAAAAACGTTTTTTTTTTTTAAATATATTCATCATGAAATAATAATCAATTTTCATTTTCCTGCCCATTCTCATTTCGGTGTGTTCAGACGCACCATGTGGCTCAATTTGAGCGCAGCGAGGCGTACTCATACAATCCAACATATATTGTTTGCGCACCTTTTGTATATACATTTTTTAGCAGTTCAGTTTTCCATTTATCGACCACTAATAATTCTTTTAAACTATTTTCAATTGGCATTCTTCGGCAAATCTATATATGTACAGTGTTCACATCGCATACACCACGTTCCATATGAGTTTCTACACAATGACCGCATGTAAATACGGGCCCGTGTCTATCGCTTTACGCTTGAATATTTTTCACAGCTTTTCTCTCTCTCTCTCTCTCTCTCTCTCTCTCTCTCTTCATATTACACATTTTTTCGTTCGTTTATTATTGAAAATTGGATAACGGATGTGTGATTCAGACACCTGTTCTCTTGTGTCTGTTTCGAAATTGGCAATTTTCTTCGAACCGAATACACGACGGTATTCTTATTGAATACAAAAAAACGAGACATGACTTAACCGTGGAAAATTCATACGTGATACAAATTGAATTTGGTTTGAAAAACGAAGAAATTGATCGAATTCATTGAAGAATCAAATCTTCTATGTAAGTACAGGTATTTTAAAGCCGATTGTTCCAAAATCAGATCAAAAGTTGACGTTTCATTAATCTCTTAATTCGATTGGCAACAATGATTTTGACTTTCAATTGAAATTATTGCGGCGAAAAACAATGCCACTAATTAGAGGCACGTTTTTTCTTCTTCTTCAAGCTTCTTGTTCTTTTCGAACCGATTATTCTAACGTGTACGTTTCACATAATGATCAAATTAATCCAACAGAAATTAATGCGATTGTCGGTTCTTCAATAAAAATCAATCAAGAAAGCAATGCGAAAAAAAAATCTCTGACACGAATCGACTAATTTTAGCACATGTGCTATTTTTTCCCAAGTCTTTTAGTTTGTATCTTAAATTGAAAGGGATCGGCAATGTATTTTTATCTCACTTGGCAATTACGAGCGAACCTCTTTCAAAGTAACAATTTTGCTAAAGCACCTCT